TAAACCTGGATGCTAGATAAGAGAATGATGGTCATCTGTCGTAAAAGAAGCCCCATTTCTTACAGGACCATGCAGCCAAGGAGAGGGCCTTCAGCTCAACTCTATCCCGAGCCAGTTTAATTCACTCAACCTTTTGCAAATTCTCTCTGAGTTCCTTCGTTATTTCGTTGACTCCGCGGATATATCGAAAGAATATACCACAACTTCTCTCTAACACTCCTTCAAATTCCACAGCTCTTACATATGATTCGATTCCATATACGGCGTCATTCAAACAGCGTCATTATATAACATACTGTGACAAATATTACCATTGCTAGACAACGGATCGGTAAGCACGTTCCCGCTGCAACGAATAGACGCGCAATAGTCCAATGCTAGACAAAGGCTTGCTAAAAGCGCGTTTCGTAGCAACGGATATGATTGTGGACATCACAGCGTTACTCCGAGATTGACACACGTTTCGTAGCAACGGATGAAACAAATAAAGAACTGTTAGAGGTAGTTCGCCCAGAGTTCATTCGCAAGTGAGCCGTCAATAGTTGAATGTTCTGCTGTGAAGTTTTAACCAGAGACAACGAAAGCTTAAAAAGTGACATATTCATAAATCAGAAGCAAGTCAGTCACAGCGGAAGAGAAGACACTCGTAGTCCAGTAAGGAATGGAGCGAGTCTTAGACAATCACTGATTGTGAGCTGTTATAATTGAATGTAATTATACAGACGGTGCCAATAAATCCTATCATCTCATCAGGAACCCGTTACTATTAGTCACGCAAACCTTCCATACGTGACTATACATTAAATTCATTCCTCCATATGGTCCCTCACACGCATTGTTTGATGAGTGTTGGATTTTCTTCCCACCAACCTGAGACCAGCCGCAGACCTCGAATAGAGAGGCAGAGGCGTACCAATCACACCTCTGTTTTATTCATTTATATCAGTGAAATTTTATGCGTATTAAACGTCCAATCTGATCCCAGAGGTAACGCTTCGAATATTGGCTCCGGAAACAGTGTTTCAATGCTGATGATTTTTATATTTTTTTAGTATACGAACTTCTCAGATAAATCCTCAGAAAATCCGGATTCTTTTTTCACCATTACAAGCAAAACAAATAATCTTTCTGACCTACTTTATACGAATATACCAAATATGCAGAAGCAGGTTATCGTTGTGCTGGATGGGTAGTAACATGATTTCAAACCTACTTTGGCTTCTCTTATTACTCGAGCTAATTTCTGAATCAAGAATCCGGCTTCTCCATTGTAATATATTGTCACGTATGAGGGGTTTGCGTGAAGAATGAAACGGGTTCTGGGTTGGTTCGTTGATTTTGTTACCCCTTCTTTACACTTTCTCTTAATTACAAACAATTTCAACAGCTCATAATCAATGGCTGCCTAAGACTCGCTCCGTTCCTTACTGTCTACGAGTGTCTTCTCTTCCGTTGTGACTGACTTGGTCCTGATTTACGAGTCGGTCACTTCTTCAGCTTCCGCTGTCCGCTGGTTAACGTTCCACAGTCGAACAGCGAACTCTCTTACGAATGAATTCGAATTCTAGTTCACTCGCGACTCTGAGTCTCATGTTAGGACCGACGGTCAGTCTGCCAGTCTGTCTTGGCATAAAGCACCCATCTGGGGCTGACAGTTACGGTCTTCTTTTTTGTGGGCGCCCTCTCTGACGAGAGGACGGGTCTGTCTTTTGTATATGCTGCTGGTCCTTGCCAGCGCAGTCTTTCTCGGATCCGAGACCCTTGGTACTCGAGACCATATATTACTGTCTCAAATTTGAGACTTCCCTTTTCGTCGCCTCCTACTCGCGAATGAACTGAAATGCTCTTTTACAGTTTCGGGTCGCACCGAATATAAGCCACCGTGACTTAAGGCGCGTCCACATTACTCGTGCTAGTGTGACTCGCTATGCTCGCGAGTAATGTGGACGATATGACAAGTCACGAGACAAGCAAATTTTAAATTTTTTATTTAAAAACTATAGCCAATAAATTAAAATACGACTACAGCCTATACACTCCGTGATTTTAGTCCTCAAGCGAACTATACCGACCGAGCGACCGCCGCTTGTCGGCGAAGTTAGTGACAACTTTAGCGGATAGAGGGTGTCACGTGGTCAGCGCAACGAATCCCCACGGCCGTTAATTTCGATTTTCTAGGCCTATACACACTACGAGTAAATATACGGATCCTCACGCGCCGAAACCTGGCGTGCAACTGAAGTAGAGTGGACGAAGATTTACGAGCACAAGTAAAAGCCAGACGAGTCTCCCGACGAACACAAGCCTGGCGAACACGAATGTGGACGCGCCTTTACAGTTCCTCTGTTATTTTGTTTTTTCCTGTGTTTATCATTAGCAGTGGGAACGTGCTTACCGAACAATTGCCTAGCAACAGTCATATTCGTCACGGTTTAAATAAACATTACAAGTAGTGCCAGAAATATGCCCCCTTTTCTTACTAAGAGAACATATTGGCAAACATTCGACACATTAACAGAGGTCCACATTCGGATATATTTCTTTGTACTTTGTTCGTATGTCTCTTTGTAGTCTATTTAACGACGCTTCAAGTATCATAATGATCATAATGAATAATGGAATGGGTGTGGAAGGAAACCGCCGAGGTGCAGTTCAAGTTACTCTCCCGGCATTTTCTTGGAGGAAGTTAGGATCACCCCTAAATAGCCAGTTACCATAGCCGTTTCCCAAACGGGATTTGAACCGGACACCTTACGAATACAATTCAGACCGTTACTACTTGAGACACCATCCGCAGTCAACATTCAGCGGAATGTGCGAATTCACATAACGTGACCTTCGTGCGATCCTGTTTTCTGCAACAGGGAACAGATGTCAGTCCGATTTAGAAAACTTCGGCGTATCCATTCACAAAATACAAACACCACAAGCTTCATTAAACATTTCATCTTGACTTCTCGGTAATACCAATACTAAATATTAATAGTGAACTAATTTCATGGCACATGATGTCTTCTTCGAGCAGTTCATAATAATTCTGCTCACTGAGCACATCTGTGTCACAGAACTCGAAGATTAATCATTGTCGCTACTAGACTCATCTCAGTTCCCATCATCAAGCCTCATTTCCTAATAATCCGTTAATATCCCGATTCATGACACAGAGAGACACGTCTGTGACCACAATCCTGTACTGAACGTATCTGATACCCTCACGAGTTATTACGGAGGGAATTCAAATGGGTCAGGGTATTGCAAAGAAGGCTGCGGAAGTCCTTAGTCAGACATGGGGCCACAAGCTGCTCTGGAAGGTCCTTGTTCCATGGAGTCATTTAGTTACCTAATAACACGGGTCGTGACATAGCTCAGGCCGTTAATTGCAGGCTTCCCGCCGCGGCGGCCAGGGTTCGAGCCCGGGTCATGTCATATGGGATTTGTGGTGGACAGAGTGTCACTGGGGCAGGTTTTCTCCGAGTATTTCGGTTTCCTCTACCATTTCGCATTTCAGTGATTGCTCCACAACCATCATATTTCATCTGGGGCTGGCCGCAGTTCCAAGTGGACTCAGTCTCACACCGTGAGGAAAATAATAAAAAAATTAATAACACAATTATAATATAAAGTTCTGCTTAGTCTAATTCATGTGAATACAGACACGAAGCCGTCATAAAATTACTTCTCCTTTCGCAATCATGGAAGTCTTCTAAGTACCGTTACTGTGCTCGAATAAAAAAGAATGGGGTGTGTCGTCTATGTAGCACGCATGGGAGAGTTATTGCATGCATGAACCTGAATGTAATAGGCCATTTTTGAGACATGAACGTGGATGAGAGGACAATACTGCAAGAAGTTCTGGGAACAAATAATGATCTACTTTTCTTTCACTACATATATTTGTTACGACACGAACCACATAGAAAAAGCCGCGTCCAACAGTTTTGCTATCGTTAGGTGCAAATTCAGGGATCGAATACCTTAACCTAGCCCTGAGAGTCGTAGGAGGCGACGAAAAGGGGTTGGAGTCTCGTTTCTGAACGAGTAAAATATTGTCGCGAGTCCGACGGGGCTAGGACCCGAGAATGACTGCTGGCGAGAACCAGCAGCAGATGTAAACTATAATCCGTCCTCTCGTCAGAGAGAGCGCCCCACATCAACAAACCTGCAATTGTCCTACAGTAATAACAACCTGATCATAAGCCCCAGATGGGTATTTTATTCCAAGCCAGAATGGCTGGCTGACCTTCGGTCGTAATATAAGACTCAGACTCGGACTCATTGCCGCGGGGAGGTGTTTACCGAGCCGTTGTCTAGCAACAATTAGAGGACACACAGACACACAGACCACAAGATGATTTTATAACCTCATTTTATCAGCCTACTTCCTTTATTAAAAAATAAGAAGTGGCTTATGATATCACCGTGCTGTCTGTGATCCCCTTATCTTTGCTAGGTAACGGATCGATAAACATGTTCTCGCTGCAATGAATACACATGCAGCAATATCAGAACTTCTGTTTATCAGTAAGGAAAATGAGCTAGGCCGCTCCATATCTCAAGCGGTTAGTCGCTGGCTTCCCACCGCAGCGGCCCGGGTTCGATCCCGGGTCTGGTCAAGTGGGATTTGTGATGGACAAAGTGACGCTGGGGTGGGGTTTTCTACGAGCACTTCGGTTTCCCCTGCAAATTTTTATTCCACCAAATTCTTCATCATTATAATCACCCGGGGCAGGTACAATAGGCCAATCAGTGGCCGTCGTGCCGAGTGGACCCAGCTGGACTCCACCCCCCACTAAGCGAATTAAAAAAAGGAAAATGGGCTAAAAAATTGAATTCTCAAAGGCAGTACGTGATGCTAGGGACTGAATGAAAGTGGTTGAAGGCAGGGTCCACCATCAGGTTCTTCAAATATCTTAATGAACCTTCGGGTTTCATAAAGGTAGAGGAATTTCTTTTAAGTATGTTCTGAAGGAGGGCTGTAATTGATTTATGTCTGCTTGCAGCTGATCCTGGTACTGAAGAGTGTCGACAGGTACGAGATCACCAACACCAGTGTTATGATCCAGATAGTGAGCCATGTGTTGGCCTATATGAATTCGTGTGTTAACCCGATCCTATACGCCTTTCTTTCGGATCATTTCCGTAAAGCTTTCCGCAAAGTCATGAACTGTGGAAACGCCAAGAACACTCAGCTCGGATCTCGGTACCATCGGGGATCCGCCGTACAAGGTCAAGCTAACGGCCGTGGTCCCAACATCAAAAGCTGTCACGAAGACGACAACAAAAGCGCCCTACTCAACGTCAGCAAGACAACCCGCCTTAACGGCAACAGCAGCAGGGATATTTTCTGAGACACGTTACCGTTTCAACGTCAGTGATGTGAACGTACATTTCCGTACATGTGACAGCAGAAGCGTCAATGATTAATCTTATCATCAGTGACATATAGGATACCTGTTGGTTTTCTTTTGTGAACCTGTTTCCCAGTGACATATTAAATTTCCCGGTGTTCACGAATAATTAACATAAATATCATCATCATCATCATCATCACATACTTACAGGTATGAGATCCTTCTACCTGTCCCGATTTTCAACTCCATCAGAGCACAGATGTTTAACATGCGTTCAATACAGTAATATTATTACAGATATTCTTGTAATAAAAAACCAAGAGATTCTAGTAATTTCTGAATGTACCTCCCCACCTACAATCTGCATGTTCTGAAAGATGTCAATGTACTTCTTGGGCCTATATCGTGAAAATCACTGAAGTGTACTCTCTGCAGTTTACGATTCTCAAAGAATAGCGTGCTCATATATCCGTGACACTACCTGTTTAGTGTATTGACTTATGTTTCAATGGTATTGACATTTTTATGCCCAGAACTGTATCATCTTTTGGGGTTGAGGAATCACAATGAAAGATGATTCGGAATAGTGTTTCTGTGTAGCAGGTACAGGCATATATATAAATTTTCCCGCGCATCTGTGAACTAGAATTAAACTGAATATTCACAAACGCTACTGAATGAGCTTGATAAATGTATTCCAGGATCATTTGTGACAACTTAAAATTACACGAAGAGTTAATAGAAACAATTAATCAAATGATAACTGTATAAGCCTACATGATTGATGAAGAAGTGAATTTATATGATTTATTATAGTTATTTAACGTCAGTGAAATCAAATATCAAGAAGCAGTGTACACATGAACAAATGAACAGTACTCATGCCGCGTAGGAATCCTCTCTGTTTTAACATCTAGACATAGTCCCAATCATATGATGACGATTCAGTAAATACAATGCAGTAGTGATTGAGTGCTTTAGACTAATGGATAACAAAGAGCGATGACAGACACATACTTGAAAATCTCTCTTTTACTCAATCACTAAAATATTATATACTTATATATGCCTATGTGAGAGACAATTTCAGACTCCATATAAATTAGGAGTATGATTAATTGTGCTGTTCATGAAGTTCCCACTTCAAGTAAACACTGTTTATTTTGGAATGAAGGCCTAATTTCCAAAACTTCTTAAACTTTTCGACATGTAATTTTATAGTGATATATACAGCAAGAATGAATTGTCAACTCATGAAGAGAAGAACTTCAGCATTCCTCTTTTTTGTGGACATTAAGGTAGGTCACTGAGTATTATACTGATGTATACTTAACGCTGTTCTATGTTAGCTAAATAAATATCACGATTCCGAATTCTATCTTCGTATTCGCAAGGTAAAGGAAACTGTTTGGTAATATTACCAAACATCTACATATACCAAACATATGAATGAATGTACGTCAACTATCATAAACGATCTGTAACAAAATGTTCTGCCGTTATACTGTCATGAGTTTCGGAACACAGCCTTTCTATACCATTTTTTATTCGTGCTTTATCAGACGTAAAATCTTATGTTTGTTCACTGTGACCCAATGGGAAACCATTATGAGAAACATGGAGATGTTTATAATATTCATGAGGCATCGTAAATAATCTACACTGAACCTTAGTTCCACACCCATTGTTTACGATGTTTCATAAACACATTTTTTATAAGATGAAATATATTTCTTTGTCACATAAATTTTATTTGTCGTTACTTAGTACTTGTAAAAGAAACTCAAACGTGTTTCGTTTTATCACTGATATTATCCTTTTATTTTATTGCTAGTGGGGTGGGACTAAGTCCCTTGTACTGCAGCCACTTCTGATCTATTGTACCAGCCCCAGATGATAGGTGAGGGTGATTGTGGAGCAATTGGTGGAATGAAGATTGGCAGGGGAAACCGAAGTACTCGGAGAAAACCTGCCCCAGCGCCACTTTGTCCACCACAAATCCTATTTGACCACACCTGCGATCGAACCCGGGCCGCCGCGGTGGGAAGCCAACGACTAACAGCCTGAGCTATGGCGCGGCCATGATACTATCCTTACTACAATAAGAAAAGCATGCTCATACTCTTCTATCTTGGAGCCATATATTAAAATAAACATATAATACATTGCTACTCAGAAGCAGGGATAGCTCAGTCGGTATAGCGACTTGCTGCGGGTAAGACGACCGAGGGGTCGGAGTTCGAGTCCTGGTAGGGTCAAGAATTTTATCCACGTCGTCCAGACCGGCTCTGGGGTCCACCCAACCTCCTATTCAATGGGTACCCGGGGCTTTTTCTTCGGGGATAAAGTGGCCGGGGCATGAATCTGACACTCACCTCCAACTAGTGCAGAGCTCAAGAAAAATGTGGATCTATACATCCACTCCCTCATACGCCTTCATGGCGTAGTTCTTAATTAGTTAAGTACAGGAACAACTTTACCTTTTACATTGCTACTCTCCTCCAGCTACTGCCGAGGTGAAGAATATGTGGATCTCTACATCCACCCCCTTTGCGTCTTCATGGCGTAGTGCTTAATTAGTTAAGGACGGGGACAAATTTTTCTTTTTTATATTATATTGCTAATGTAACATGATATTACTATTTAAACAAATTTGCCATTAAAATACGAAACTAATTTTACCATTGCGCTATAAGGGAGAACGTGGCTTCTCGCCCCTAGTGAAGAGCGCACATTTCCGGTGCTTTAAGGCAGGCTGGTAAGAATAATACTTAGACTTACGAGAGTAGAATGAAAACGGACTGAGGAAATTGCATAGTGAGGAGCTTCATAACAGACATTGGGATGATTAAAAAATGGAGATGCAGTAAGTGTAACAATAGGCAAACAAGAGGGGATTAGAAATGTGTTTAAAATTATAGGCGGGAACTTGAAATAAAGGAAAGACTCGGGTACCTGAACACAGAACGGAGGATATTATTAAAGTGACTGAAATAAATATGCTGGTATTTAAAGGCGTGAACTGGATTCAGCTGCCTGTGCACAGAGTCCAGCGGCAGGCTTTTGTGGGCATCATCATAAATCCTCAGATTCGACAAGATCAGTATTTCGTGACTATTAATTCTAGTGAGGATTCTTCTTCATAGAATTAATTTGTTGGCTGCAGGATAAATATGTGAAAACGTTTCCTCCGTGAATTAATGCAAAATCAATTAGAAACCATTAAGTAGGTGTTTCAAATGGGAAATATTATGGTTAATACATGCGTTTGCATTTGTAACGTCAGTTTAAAAATGGCAAAGCGACAATGAAGAATGAAGGATTTGAGGTTCTCACAGCGGTGGTTATGAATACTCTGTTTTCTGGGATATAACGCAGTGTAGTCCGTTAAAAGTTAACAGACGTTTCGGAAGAATGTCACCTGAATCTTCAGAGTCGAAGAATGGAACAAGAAACCAGCGTGAAAGCAGGTGACAATTTGCCACCCTGAAGGTTGAGGCGACATCTTCCTCCGATACGTCGGTTGACTTTCAACGGACTGTATGGCGTTATATGACAGAAAATACAGCTTTTCTTGACGATGAAGGATGTTTACACTCAACGTATTGAAAAGGATGTGTGCAGAAACATTCGTTCTCACTTGTCCGTCATGTTCAGTCATGCGCAGTACGGATAAGGTCAGTGAGGACAGACGGAATCCAACTGGTTACATATCCAACGCAGGAAAGGCGCCGCGTTACTCCTCTGCTATCTCTCTGCTTTCAGGAGGGACGGGGGTCAATGTCCTTTCTCTTTTCTGAAATACTTTCTTTCTTGAAGTTTCTATTTTTCCTCTTATCGTCTGTATAGGAAATCTTCCACTTACAGGGCACATTTTAAGTTAAGAAAATGACTGTGAATAGTTAATTAAAGAATATGACTCCTCAATACATCTTCTTCTTCTTCTTATATATTCAAGGATGAGGATCTCTGATCTCTTCTCATTCAGAATTAATTAATTAATTCTGAAATTTGAACCTTACAGACAGTCGGTAGGACTCCTTGGACGGGGGATCAGCCCATCACAAGGCCTCTACCTACACAGGACATCACAAACACAGGCATCCATGCCTCTGAGTGCGATTCGAACCCACGATCCCAGTGATACGAGCAGGTGAAGACATTTCATGCCTTAGACAGAGCGGTCACTGTGACTCCTTAGTATCCAGTGTGATAATTCTGTAGTCGGTAGGAATATGAAAAGAATTTATAAGCAGAGCGACATCCCGGCTTCACGCACCGTCCACAGACTGCAGCATCCGCGCACACATAAAGAGACTGCCCTTTGCAGTTCTTCAGTTTCATGTACACACACCCTGGAGCATGCTGGAACAGTGCTATGTGTGTTCTTGGTTATCATGCGGTATTAATTATAAGACGCTGGTTTTTCATTAACTTTTGAAGATACAGAAACGCTCCCTTATTTCTAAACGTGCTGGTATTCGTCAGCATGGGAGTGAGAGTGACGCAGTTTGTGATTGCTGAAGATCATGAATGAAGATTTCTCAGCTCAAGGCCACAGACTTAAGAGCCAAGCCAATGAAACATCCGACTGCCAAACACGGGGTGTTATGTACAAACCAGGCTGGTGTAGCAGCAACACCCTAGACTTGCATTCGGGAGGTGTTCAGTTCAAAACCCGACCGGAAAGCAGTTTATGCTGGCTGAGGTACTTCGTGATATTTCTCAGACTTCCAAGGCAAATGCTAACATAGTGTCTTGAACAGGTCACGGCCACCTCTTTCCAAACTACCGTATTTACGCATGTATAGGCCGCAGCACAATTTTCAGACAGAAATTATAGAAAAAATAATTTTCTTGGAATATTATTTCAGGAGTAGAACACCCTGTATTACTAATTATGAATATAATTTTTTTAAAATGAAGTGTGATTTCGAATATTTCGAATATAAGCCGCACCCCAGTTTTCCTCTTGAATTTTTGGCAAAAAATGTGCGGCCTATGCATGCGTAAATATGGTATTTCCAGTTCATTATTCACCAATCTTCGTACTCTGTAGTCTGACATATTGAAAATGTTGAAAACTAAACCAAAGACTACGGCTAATTTTTCATTTTAAAATGATAGAAAAATACTCCGTCATAATTCCCGTATTAATAGTCACAATAAAGTTAAGGAGAATGAGATGGGCTGGGCATGTAATACGCACGGAAGCAAGAGGAGTATATGTAGGATTTTGGTGGGAAATGCAGAAGGAAAAAGACCACTAGGAAGGCCTAGACACAAATGGGAGGATAATATTAAAATGTATTTTAGAGAAGATGGGGTGGTATGGGGTGGATTCATCTAGCTCAGGACAGAGACCAGTGGAGGAACCTTATCAATATGGTAACGAACAATCGGTTTCCATAACATGGGTAATTCTTGAGCAGCTGAGCGACTACCTATTTCTGAAGTAGTACTCAGATCCGTGGAGTTAGTAGTAATCGTGTGAACTCTGCTCCTGGACTACAGTACTGTCGATTCAAACAGGTGTAATCGGTGTTTAATATTATTCAAATACACAGACAAGCCCATTTACAGTACTTCCAATTTAAAAAATTATTGCGAATAGGGTTATAAAGTGTGAAACCCCGCAACTGTGTTATAATTAATTGTAGCCGATACTTGTAGATTGTTAAATAAACCAATTAACCATCTCTAAGGTGTCTTCAGTAACGAAACACGTTACAATATAATAAAATCCTGAATTAAAACTGTCCTTCAATAATTTTAATGCTGGACCCGTGTGTTAACTGTGTAAGCTGCAGCTACATACTGAAATGTCAAACTGTCCTATTGAAAAGCCACTGGCCTTTTGTAGTGGCACATAATAATAAAAAGCGAAGTACACAGAAAATATTTATCGCTCTGTGCAATGCGATCTGTAAGTCGGTTGACTGAAACTTGCAATTTGCTCGACAATTCTCTATGGATCGTAACTCTCAAGTCGAAAGTAGGCATCAACTAATAGATATTCTGTCACTTCAGGAAGGTCAAGGTCATATACCAGTAGTCTTTATCGGCAAACGCTGGAGCAGTTGCTCCATATTTACTTCCCTTCACCCCCATTTTACCGCTGTGCTAATATCAAAGGTAGAGCCTGGCCATATGGCTGTAATACAGAGGTCGATATGACACGGGTCTCTGCCGCATGTACCGTGGTCCCAACATCACACTTTTCTGAAACACATTTCTGCTGTCACTTAGTCTGAAATGAATTACCTCCATCATTCGCTTCTATCCTCAATGTATCATT